ATATGTCAGGAGCATGTTACTCTTTTTAGCATCATAACTATGATGATGGTATATTAATTTTAACATGTAGGGAACCAGTACAACATAATACAGAAATGAGAAAATCAAAGCATGAGGTTAATTAAAATAATATTATATCATTATTAAGTTAATTTTGATGTTAAATAGATCCAGACTTCAGAAAAACTTGAAGCAAAAGTGGTACATAAACAAGATAATACCTGACACATAAATTTATATTACTGCATCTTTTACAGGAACAAAATGAAAAGCCTAAATTCTCAGTGTTAGAGCTTTGCAAAGTAAACTCAAAACATTTAGCGTATATATGATATTTCAGTTGATAGAAATTTGAAAGTCAAGACAATGAATCAGATCTAAAACCAACATCTACGAGTTCAGTAAGTCTTTGGATTGACACTGATAGGCATGTAGTTTTACGTCTTAATTTTAAAAGTAATCTTGCATTATTTTTGTTCTCTTTTTTTCATCATATGTATAGAGTGCAGATAAACGATTTTCATCGCAATTGGTATTATAACATAATTAATAATTAATAATTATCATTTAAGTTATTCATTTTTAGGATGATGTTACTGTGTCACCTCGACATGAACCAAATAAGGTAAATATTTATTGTTGTAGTTTATAAGATTACAACAATATTTTAATAAAATAATTGACCTTTAGTCTCCAGCTCCAAGTAGACGTCCTCCACAGCCTCCACCAAAGCCACATCGTATTAAGCCACAGAACGAGGTATTAGATTAATACTGTTATGAATTATCACTCAAAGATTACAGGTAGAAAGAAGACCCAGATCAGCAGCATTCTCAATGCGTGATAAGGATGAGCTACAAAGCAAGCTAAGTGTATGCTTTTGTGAAGAGAATCACAGTAGTCTTCTAAGTCAAGAGAGTACAGCAAATCAGGAATCTACAGAGGAAAACATTGCAAATGAAGATTCGCCAGAAATAATTGAATGTGAAGTAGCACCAGAAGAAGGCACACTAGATGAAGGTGATATTCAAATGTGTGAAGCCCCAAATGAAAACACACCATGTGAAGATACACCACCAAATGAGGGTATTAATCCAAAGGAAAATGATTCAAATGAAACTGCAGTTGTAAAAGCAGGTATTGAAGCTAACGTTTCTTTTAATGGACTGCAAAACCAACCGCTTTTTATTTCTAATGAATATGCCACTGAGGTAAGCATAAATGCAGTCGAGAAAAGGTTTGGTCGTCATGTTGCTGAAGCATTTGGAATCGCTCTACTATATATGAAGAAACCTGGCCAATGGTTTGTCAAAGTGATTAAGAAGAAAAATCGCAAATCAATAAAATCTAATTAAACTAACTAGGTCTAACTATTGTATTTGTAGTTAATTATTTTGCCAATTTCATTCCATAATTAGTAATTGCTCTGTAGTAGACTAATTTTGGTTTTCCCCCCATTTTTTGTATTATTTTGGCTCAGTTCTTTTCACATAAATTGGATAGCAGGCAGCGTTATATATGATTATTGAATTTGAACAAAGGCGTGGCTACTGGCTAGATAACAACAATAATGGAGTCTGATCTAAAGAGATGGTTAGCTGAAGGATTATCCAGTCAACTGCAGCTGCCAGTTGATAAAGGAGTAGTAGAGTTAGTTAATGAACTGGGGCAGTATTGTGTAGAATTATTCAGTCACTAATTCTAATTGATTTGAGCTGTAGATCTATATATTTGACTGTTCTCAGTTGATTATATGCCTAATTTTTTATGGTTTAACCTGCATGCTTCAAATTTATAATTTTAATTATGTATAATGCTGCCAGATATTTTTATTGATTTTGTATTTTTATGATAATTATTGTCTTTTTATAAATTTAAAATTATTCCACAGGTATCTAGTTGCTATGGATACTAAGGCTGAAGTAGAAGACTACCTGGAGGGTCTTTTAGGTAAAAAGTCTCATCAGGATTTCATACGAGAGTTTCTGCTCCGCTGGACAGCCGTAGTAGAGGAGAGAAGTCACCATGGCAACATGGAAATGATAGTAGCACACTCTCGACAGGAGAAAGAAGAACTAGTTCTTTTTGAACCAAAGAAGACGACAAAGAAATCTAAAAAGGTTTTTAACCATTTCTCGTGAATTTTGATACGATTATAATAATTTTAGGATGTTAAAGAAGCTCCTAAAGCTACTGCCCCTCCCCCTGGATTTGGTGTACGCCCACCACAGAATCCCTCTACTC